CCCCAAAACCCCAAAACCCCAAAACCCCAAAACCCCAAAACCCCAAAACCCCTCTATCTTTTAAAATAATTGATTATCAATATGGAAGATAAAATTTTCCTTGAACAATCCAAGTTCAGGAGTGTAGAAGAGTCATCTATAGTTGCCTTCTACAACCCAAGACATGATGTCAACAGGTTCTTTGCCAAGGGTGACGAAGAAGATGACGATGACAACTCTCTCGACCTTGACGATGACCTCAATGTGTTTAAGAACGAAGGCACTGACTCAGATCTTATCGAACAAAACAAAGACAAAATCCTTTACTATGTTGACCTGGAAAACGAAGAAATCATTGATGCTGACAAGCGTGAGTCCAGCAAAGAAGACTGCGATGACTGTGAAGAAGAAGTTGACTCATCAGTCCACCCTGTTCTGTTTAACCAGTTTCCACTCGGCAAAGACCACAACATTCTGCTCATGTTTGCCACAGCTGGTCTGCCTCAAGTGCTCTCCGATGAAATTCTGGACTTGCTGTTCCAGATCTTCAGGCTGTTTCCTGACCGACACCTGAGGATCGGGTACAATTCGATGGGAGCTGAGTGCTGGATCAACAATCTGCACTTCCACTTGTTGTCTACAGACAATGTGTTTAGCGAAGTCGAAGACACCAAGAAGTTTCCGATCGAAGACGCTCCGCTAGTCAAGATTCTCGACTCAACGCTCCAGCACAAGTCTGAAGACGAAATTAACATGTACAGTGTAGGAGTCGAGTTCTACATCACTGAAGAGTGGCCAGTCAAAGCTTTTGTTGTGAAGCCACTTAAGAGAGATGAAGAAGAGTCTAAAGACGAAGAACCCAAAGAAGACAACACTTTCGGAGACTCGCCTGACCCAACAGCCAGCGTTGCACATGCAGTTGGAGGAATCTTGAACATCCTGATTGACAGCAACACTCCTCACAACTTGCTGATCTCAGACCAAGGCGAGGCCGTGTATGTGATCCCGAGGAAGTTCGACCTGCTGATCAACGCAGCCAATTTCTCGACAGAGTTCAACGACTTGTGCGGACTGGTCAAGTGCAAAGACGAGAAGACTTTCGAGAACCTGACTGACTCCCAATACAAAAAGTTTTTGAAGAAAGAAGTTTCACTGGACACTGAAGCCTTCACCAAAATCAAGGACGAACTGATCACGAAGTTTGTGAAGGAGTATGAGTGCACAGAGTACTAGCTTAGCAATGGATTTGAATTCAAATATGTTACTTCTGATGGGGTTTTGGGGTTTTGGGGTTTTGGGGTTTTGGGGTTTTGGGGTTTTGGGG